TGAGCCGAGATCACACTACTGCACTCCAGCCTGGGGGTGACAGAGTGAAAATCCATCTCAAAATAAATAAATAAATTAATTAATTAATTAAAAATAATACACTTCCCTACTGTTTATTGTTTCATTTTATTTTTTTCTGCTTTTTAAGAATTCATTTTTTTATTTGTTCGTTTGTTTTGAGACAGAGTCTCACTCGATCACCAGGCTGGAGTGCAGTGGCGTGATCTCAGCTCACTGCAACCTCCGCCTCCCAGGTTCAAGTGATTCTCTTGCCTCAGCCTCTGTAGTAGCTGGGACTACAGGTGCACACCACCACGCCCAGCTAATTTTTGTATTTTTAGTAGAGGCAGGGTTTCACCATGTTGACCAGACTGGTCTTGATCTCTTGACCTCATGATCCACCCACCTCAGCCTCCCAAAGTGTTGGGATTACAGGCGTGAGCCCCCACACCCAGCCTGTAATTTTTAAAGTATAGAATTTTGAGGTCCCCAGTGCATCAACTGGCACCAACTTCACAGTTATCCCTACAAACTCAGTGAACATTTTACAATTAACAAGTGATGGCCCCTGTCTCAGTGAGTCTACAATCTATTAACGGCATCAGCACCTTTGTGTATACTACATCAGAATATCCAGTTCTTCACTTCCTTCCCACCTGCAGTGTACACTGATGGTTAGGACCACCAATTTCTCGACTTCCTGCCCAGTAGAGTCTTTCCCAATTTATATAATCTCATTCCCCCTAACAAACACCTGCCCTGTCCTTCTGTCATAACTCCTTCCTTCATTACTGAAAGCAAAACATCCATTTCTGCTACTACTACCAAAACTCTCAGCCCAGAAGTACCTTCCACCTTCCAAAAATTACATCCCATTTTGATGCCCTAGTGGACCACCAGCCCCCAGTAACTTCTCACTCACACCCTCCTTTCCTCTATCTTCCCTCTCTGCTGAGTCAAACATCTGGTATGGGCCATGTCATCTGTATAGGCAGTCCTCTCCCTTGGGCCTCAGACTTGCGGGAAAGTTGTCAACAGGGCAAGGAGGCAGGCCTCAGTGACTAAACATTTTCTGGTCTGCCTTGACTTTCCAAGGCTACCCTTGCTCACTCTCACAGTCTCCATCCTCCCTCCACCTCCCCTTTCTCACTCCACCCCTTGCTCTTCAAAGGCCTGGGTGAGACCAGCCAGCATCTCACAGCGGAAGCCAGAAGAAGCTCAAGGCTGTTGCCCCAGAAACCCTGACTACAGAACGGCAGGCTGGACACTGTTTGTTTTCCCCCTAATCAGAAAATCCCACTGGGGGGACAAAAAGGGGGTTCTCAACTGCCTTGATGACTGGAATCTGGGCTGGTCCCTTCCAGCCCCTTGGAGGAAGAGAAAGTACCAACATTGCAATATAGTATAGGGGGCAAAAAAAAAAAAACATCTGTGGAAAGGGACCCCCAGAATTAAGAGCGGAAGAGAGGGAAGGAAAGGAATCCTGAACCACTGGCTGCAGAAACAAACTGAAAGTTAACACCTGGCCTTTTTGCAAGAAAGTCCCCAAGGACACACTCCATCCTGCCCTGTTACCATTTCCAAGAAGGAAAAAAAAAAAAAGCAACTACTGGGGGAAGAAAGGAACAACCACCCCTGGAAGCACCTCTGATGCACAGGAAACATACACACAAACCACGCAATAGTTGGAGGGTTGCTTTCCACAGTGTTCTCATCTTTCGGCTGGGTAAAACAAGCCATCACTTCTGCTTCAGCTTTTAGGGCCAATGCAAGGGAACACCGGGTAACACGGAACAGAAACACTGGCACGTCTCATGTATTAATTAATCAGGAAGGCGTGATGGCTAAACCCTCAAAAGCAGTTAGGACAAAAAACTGCTATGGATACGATGATGCTACATTTAAAGAAAAACAACATCCAAGTTGCTGGAATATGCGTTGCAATCCTGGGTACCAAAACCCGAGAATCTTCTTAAGTTAAATCTGCGTAGCTCAGTGCCACTGGGCAAAAATGAAAATAAAGGCTGCTCGTTTCCAGCTTCCCAGAAATAGACTGGGAATCACTGGAGTTAATACTTTCAGAATGTTACGGTAACTACTGCAGTAAATAGGAAAGTTTAGTCCAAATGTCTGTAAATATTTCCTTGCATTTCAAAGGAATCAATTCATCCAACCAGAAGGCAAGGCCAAACAGCTTAGTCACCAACAGGCAGGGCAAATGGCTCTATCGGTAAAACAAGGCATAAAGTAAACATGGTCATCATCCTCCCCCACCTTGTGCACAGAATCCTGCTCAGTGCATCAGCTCCCTCGCTATGGCCCCCCAGGGGGCAGATGGGTGAATTTCCGTAACTCTCTTCCCCCGCTCCATCCCCTTCCCCCGATGCTCTTACCTGCAATCCTAAGCACTGCCCTCTCGGCAGGGTCCAGCACTGAGCCCCCTTGAATCTTTCTTTTCGATCTCTCATGTTTAGGTAAATTCCAGGGTAAGGTGTCTCCCGGAGCTGGGGATGCGGAACCAGATTTCTGGCTGAAATCATCCTCATCGGAAAAATCCGCAGAGGAAGACATGGAGCAGCGATAGGACGCGTTCCCGGAACTCTACAGAGAATGACACAGAGAAAGCATTAACAGCAAAATACTCACATATGCTTATCGATTTAAACATCCCCCGCCCTCCCTGCCCCCAAACTGGGTCTGGCATCCTACACCACCCTCAGGGCTGAGGGGATGTACAGGAACCAAAAATCGGAAACCCGGGGCTCACCATCTTTTCTTGGCCAAGTCTCCAATAGTAAAAACAATACCCAGGCAGTTCCAATACACGAAGATTTGCACCGAAGAAGTGTGTGGCCTGTGGTCCGGCCACCAGCTCACAAATGACTGGCCCAACAATGAAGCCAGAATCAACAGCCTTCCTGTTACAAATCTATAGTATTTGGCTCCCCCAGCAGGACAGGAGAAACATTTTCCATTACTAGCCTGCTGGTTAATTCATTAATGCAACTAACTCGAAGTTTCGAAAACAAAGCACAAATGCAGGATGTTGGGTCCCAACTCCTTTCCGCTTCAAGTCGCCTCATCACTGGAGACTCGTTACGACCAGTTTTAAGCCCCTGTCCTCTTTATTTAATTTTCTTCATGAGACTGAAGCAGGTTCCCAGAAAAGAGCAAGGAGGGAGGAAGAGCTGATTCTGAGAAGAGCCTTTTCTTAAGACTGGGAGAACAAAAAAGACTGTTTTCAGAAGCTTACGGCAGCGCCAATAAACAAACATCTGAACTCAGCTTAGAGTTCTTGAGATAATTTAAACTTCTAGCAAAGTAACAGCTGCCAATAATGTAAATGAGAATGATGCAGTGCAGTGACAGGAAACAGAGCTCTTCTCAGCTCCTGGTCATTACACAGTGAAATAAGAAAGATGATGCTTTTACGAAAGCACTTTGCCTGAAGGTTAGTCCTCCCTTCATCTAGCTGGAGTGAATCTGCAGGGTCATGTCTTGCATAAAAGTGTTATATCTTCCATAGGGGGAGAAGGCACAAGATGTGATTCCTTCCTTCTTTGTTGGGTTATGTTTGTGATTATTTAGAAAGCCACTGGCTTACTAATGAAACAAGGATGTTGATTATCTCTGCTGCAAAATTATAAATATAATAATATATCAAAAGGAAGTCTTGACTTTCCTACTGAGAATTCTACTTCCCTAAGACTCACAGTAAAGATGCAAAACTGGTGTAACTCGATTTCCTGAAATGTAACTTGCAGCCAGGGATTCCTGAGAAGCAAGTTGCAGGCAGAAATCAGTGAGGCATGCTCCAATTTGAGCAAAAACACTGGGCTTCCCACAAAAGCAGTGGGAACTGCAGCATGAACAGCCTGTGTGAGCCACATCCCAAAACACTTCTTATACAAGGTACGTGAAATAAACTCTAATTGCATCAGGACTGCTCACCTTATCTCAGTCTGTTTAGGCATGTGGCTATGCATGGTTAATAGCATTATTTTATTTTTTTCTTTTTTGTGGGTACATAGCAGGTGTAAACCCCATTATCTTGGAAGTTCATGTAACATTTCCCACAACGTGAGGTATGTTGACTTAGCTCTCTATTCTTTCCCCCAAAAAAAGCTATCTTCCATTTTATTTTACATAAAATTTCATCATCTTGGCTAATTTATTTATTTAGAGTCTGTATATTTTTCTAATGACAATAAAGTGTTAGGCAAACTTGAGGCAAAAGTAAATAAAATTGATTTTCTGTATTGTAGCTACAATCCATAGGGAGTTGTGAGTAGCATTAAGTCAGTCACAGTCTGCTATAATCAACCTAATTTATTTTCCGTGCTTTTCTGAAAATTCATCTTGAGCTTTCTGAGGTTTTGTTGTTGGCTGGCTCTGTTAAAA